CTGCCTTCAGCTCGGGTCATGATCCCAGGGTCCTGGGATCGAGCCCCGCATTGGTCTCCCTGCTCCACGAGAAGCCTGTTTCTCCCTCTCCTGCTCCCCCTGATTGTGTTCCCTCTCTCGCTGTGTCTCTGTCAAATAAATCAATAAATCTTAAAAAAAAAACAAAAAAAACTGAAGGCATTTTGTGTTAGTGTTTTCTCTCCAACCCATACACCTTGAACTTGGTACTCTAGTGAATTTAGAATACTCATTATATGTGATTAAATAGTACTTGCCTATAGTATAGCTATTATCCTTATCATACCTTAGTTTTACTATAAAGAATGTAGTTTTGTTTTGTTACCATGAGGGTATATTTAATGTCCCAACACGAATATAATAAACACTTGTATAAAGTCAGCAAATCCTATTTTTCATACTTTAACTTAGAACTGAAAAATAAGACTCTTGAATTAGGATGCCAAATGCATTCTTCTTGAATCTAGTATTCTATCATGAATAGGGTAAATGGGCAAACGCACTACTAAATCTAAAAAGCTAGAGATGTGTTTAAATATTCCACTTGAGTCTTTCTGGGACCTATTTTTCAGTTGGCACCATTCTCATTCCTGAGACATCTCACCATGAGGCAAATCAGGGGTAAGAAAGCCAAGCACCAAATGCGTTCTCCTTCTAACCTCCAAATATGTTTGCCCCTGTCTCATTAGAGCTTTCATGTCCTCTGTTCTAACCACACCTGTTGGGGCAGTGACCCATGAACATATCTAGTACTTTTTATAGCTCTGTGCTTTGGCTCACCTGGTGTGAAATCCTTTTCTTCCCTTCCATCCTTTAGGACTGAACTCAAAAGTTTTCTATGAAACTTTCCTTCAACAACCCAATCCTCAAGGTCCAGTGTATGCAACTGGTCTGTTAGGCTCCCATTCTATGTAACCTGTACATATTTTCTACCATCTTCTATTAAGTTAATGGTTTCACAAATGCATCTTTCTTAAGATTGAAGGGCAGTTAAGAGGACCATTGTTATATTCTCAATTTAACATTTTCTTGGCTGAGTGTGTTATAGAGGTAATTTAATAACTTGATTAAAAAAAAGTTTATAAACCATCTCATTAGATGAACAAGTTAGAGTCCATATATATCTGAAGGACACACAGTACCTCCCTCTAAACCAGCTCTCTCATGGACACATGGCAAATGCTAACAGAGCACCTAAAGGTCCAGGTAGGGTTTTAGAGCTGCCGGAGGTACAAAGAACTGACGACACAGAGAGTGGGGACAGGGCCACTCCAGAACGCTTTTTCTTTGTGCTGGGCTCAGGTAGGTAGGTCAGTTACCAAACAAAGGATGCTTTCAGAGGTTTTAAAAGTTTTCAGTGGACAACTGACATATCACTATTAGTGGCTCATCCAACACGATCTTTTCTCAAAAGGCAAAGGGGTCTGGGAGAGTAGCGTGGTTTTGCAACACACGGGCCGGATGAATGCAAACTGGTAAGTGCATAGAATAGTGCAGTGAGCCAGCAAAGGGCAATGCCTGGATGCTGTGTCACAGGCGGGTTCTGACCAAGCAAAAGTAAAGGGAAGATTAGAACCCAGAAATGAAGCAATAGGACGGAAGGAGGGGCTCAAAGAGAACTGAAGTATGAGCCAACTTCACAGGTTTGCCTGGGCCTGGCAGGACTCTAATCGGCAGCGGGGTGACTGGTAGTAGAGAAAGAGGTATTCGCCACTGCGTTGCCAGAATGCAGAGAAGGAATGTCGGGTTGCCATTAATTATGGCGGAAGTTAGAGTAGGGGAGGGAAAGGAACCAACAGAAAATATCGTCAGGCCTTAAGAAGAAAATAGCAACTGTGGAACAGCTGAGGCCAGTGAAGCAATTCAGATATTCGTGAGAGTACAGACAGGGCGTGAAACAATCAGAAGGCAAAGGCCAGAGGCAAGACTGGTCTGAGGAGAGGGGCCCTCTTGCAGCAGGCGTTAGCCCTTCCTTCCTTATCTTCTAACATCTGTATCTTTCATCCTTCCGTGCATTCACACACCACCTCATCAGTTCTTAGCTGTTTGTCTCAGCAGCAGATAGTCACACAAGACAGGGGATGATCTCAGTCCTTCATGCCAAACTCGGCCTGTGCGCCTCCCCTCATCCCAAACTGCACACAAAATATATTAGTTCATCTTTCTTTTTATTCTCAAAATAGGGTAATACAAAACTCCAAGGGGTATCGGACTGGGCTGGCCCTCGTGTGGGCTCTAGTGCTTTGGAGGAAGCAGAACCGAGTCCCCAGGAATGTGAAAGCATTACATCAAAAGGACAGCAGTAGCTACTGGGCCAAGTTCAACAGCCCAAGTCACACCCAGGCATAGGCACAGCAGGGCTTGGGTTCTAGCTCTTGGGCTGGGGGAGGAGATGATAACTGCTTTGAGATAACTGAGCAGAAGAGCCAGTGCAGAAGGGTCTGGTGGGAGAAATTGGGAAAGCTGAAGGATAGTGATATTCCTCTCTTTTCCTACTACTGAAGGGCAGAGGCACGTGACCCCAGCAAGGGGCCGAAGTATGTGGTAGCTACTTGGATCCCATTATGGAGAGGCCAGACCACTCCAGGGCTCGTTAGCTGGCTTTGGCAGGTGGTGGAATACTGGTCATAAGAATAGAGACAAACTGTTCCAATTTTTGTGCTGCTTGTCTCCCAGCCTCTAGTACTTCCTCATGATTGACCTTCTCCTTGGCTTCATAATCCAAGACGACTTTGTTAGTGATGAGGGAGAAGCCAAAGACTCGAAGTCCACAGTGCCTTGCAACTATAACTTCTGGTACCGTGCTCATGCCTGATGAGGAGAAAGAGGAAATCAACCGTCAGGATCCTCAAAGGACTCTTTTCTTCACCCTTTGGCCTCATCTCCATTCCTTACCTCACTGACAATGTAACATCTCAAAAAATCATCCACACCAGGGCAGCTCAGTTGTTAAGCATCTGCCTTCAGCTCAGGTCATGATCCCAGGGTCCTGGGATCGAGCCCCACATCGGGCTCCCTGCTCGGAGGGAAGCCTGCTTCTCCCTCTCCCACTCCCCCTGCTTATGTTCCCTCTCTCGCTTATCTCTCTCTGTCAAATAAATAAAATCTTAAAAAAAAATCCAAAGTAGCAGCTAATTTCCTGTCCAGCTTAGGTTGTTCTGTATTGCTTCAAAGACTTGGGCCTCAGAGGGCCTTACACATTACTTAAAATATTATCATTACTTCTACATCTGTTTCTGGTCATTTTGAAGTCAGTTCTAAGGATGCAGCTCCATCTTCCAGCCAGAGGTACACAAAGTGGCTATAATACTATTTTTTTTTTAAATTTTTTTTATTGTTATGTTAATCACCATATATTACATCATTAGTTTTTGATGCAGTGTTCCATGATTCATTGTTTGTTCATAACACCCAGTGCACCATGCAAAACGTGCCCTCCTCAATACAATACTATTTTTTAGAATAATCCTTAGAAATAGTATGGAATCATGGATGGGTCATTAGCATTACAGCTATTAAAGCCCTAAGGGCTGGGTGGGGAGGTTTGATGCTCCCAACACACCAAATCTCAACACCTTTCAAATCAGTTTAACTCAATCTTCCCTTAAGTTAGATCCTCTCTCAACTTACCATCCAGGTCTATAATCTTTGACCCCTTTCCATCCCAATTTTTACCACGTCCCTCCCTCTTCAAGCCTCCAGCCACGTTCCCCTTCTCACCAACAGCATCCGCGCCCAGCTTCTGCAGCAGCCAACATTCAGCCACAGTCTCAAAAGACGGGCCTGCCAACATCACATAGGTGCCTTCCTTCAGCTCTCTCTGCTCCCCCATCTGTTTCCAAGCCCTGTGAGCGTTCTGCCGCATATCCCGGTCATAGGCATCGGACATGGCAGGAAAACGAAGTCCAAACCTAGGGCACAGGTTGGAATCTCAGGTTATTGCAACCACATGAGCCGTCTCCTGACTCACAGACAAGTCCTTAAACCCTACCCAGCTATAAAAAAAAAAAAAAATTAAAAGGCAAGATACATACCTTTCGTCATTGGGCCCTATGAGAGGGTTCACACCACTGAAGCCAGGAAAGTTGATGTGATCACGGATCAGCATGATATCTCCAACCTCAAACTCAGGGTTGAGTCCTCCAGCTGCATTGGTGACCACTAGGGTGTCCACGCCCATAAGGAAGAAAACCCTCACTGGGAATGTCACCTTACAAGCCCAAGATAAAAGATCAGAAAGTGTTCTTTAAAATTTCATCAATCCACCCACAGATATGCAAGATATAGATCAGGAAAGAAGAGAAAGGAGGGGACCAAAATCTATCTAGCCCAGGTAGCTAGGCAATAAAATAGGACTGAGAACTCTCCCCCTTCTTCCAGATCCATCCAAGCTATGCCCCTGATTTACCTTCCAGATCGGGTAGCCTTCATACATGTGGAACCTGCCCTGCATCATCACACAGGCCTTGCCATTCAGGAACCCAAACACCAGTCGACCAGCATGACCAGGCACTGTAATGTAAAATAGAAAGGAGAAAGAACGGGGTGATGCTTTCATAGAACACATATCCATTGAGCACCCACTACCAGCCAACTCACTGCGCTCAACATGTGAGGCCATAATTAAGCCAAAGAAACATTATTATTATCTCTGCTTTCAGAAAGTTGAAGTCTGGTGGAGACAGAAATAAATCAATCATAAGCCTACAAATAAGTATATAAGTACATCCTGAGACTGGGGCTATGTGAAAGTAAGGATGTTCAATGTGAACCATGTATCAAGGCAAAGGAAGGAGAGGTTTTTTTAAAGAAACTTCAAAAGAATGAGAAAGCCATACTACAAGAGAATGAAAGTGAGTAAAAAATAGAATAAGCGGATAATAATAATTGCAGTGAATGTAGTCATTACAGATCACTTTTCCAAAAATTTTAAAATTCTCAAAATGTATCATCTTATTTCTTACTCTTAACTAAACCATGTGCCTCCTCACTCTTGAAAGGGAGCTCATGGTATATTCTGGCTTCCTAAAGAGACTACTGAACGGCGGGCAAAGGGGCTGAGTTTGGACCCATCTAAGTCTCCTCCATTATGACCCACAGAAGAGTCCTGTAGGAATACATTCCACTGATGGCGCCTGCATGTAGGAGGGCAAAATAACTCTCCACACAGGACATAAGAACCACTATTACCAGTTCCCTTCTCTAGCATTTCTCCTCTAATGGACCGGACCACCTATCCCGGAGGGAATGTGTGGTGTGAGAGAGGGACCCAAATCAAGAGGAAGAGTTGAGGGATGGTCGGAGACAAAAGAGCTTATTAAAAAAAACTGCCAGTGGGCGCCTGGGTGGCTCAGTTGGTTGAGCGACTGCCTTCGGCTCGGGTCATGATCCTGGAGTCCCGGGATCGAGTCCCACGTTGGGCTCCCTGCTCAGCAGGGAGTCCGCTTCTCCCTCTGACCCTCTTCCCTCTCATGCTCTCTATCTCTCATTCTCTCTCTCTCAAATAAATAAATAAAATCTTAAAAAAAAAAACTGCCAGTAATAGAGCAGAGATAACAGAGTTAGGAAAATGAAAAGTATAAAAAAATAGGTCGATAAAGTTTAAAAATTAATCCACTAATCACTTAGTGCAGCACCCTTCTTAGGATGGGAGAGGACAGGCGGAGCCAATGTCATTGTTATCTCCCTTAGAAAACTTTTTTTTTTAAAGATTTTATTTATTTATTTGAGAGAGAGAGAGAATGAGAGATAGAGAGCATGAGAGGGAAGAGGTTCAGAGGGAGAAGCAGACTCCCTGCTCAGCAGGAGGGAGCCCGATGTGGGACTCGATCCCGGGACTCCAGGATCATGACCTGAGCCAAAGGCAGTCGCTTAACCAACTGAGCCACCCAGGCGCCCCTCCCTTAGAAAACTTTGCCCTCACTCTCTGTCTCTCTTTTTTTTTTAAAGATTTATTTATTTGAAAGAGAGAGAGAGAGAGTGTGCGCACAGGGGGAGAGTCAGAGGGAGAGAGTCTTAAGCAGACTCCCTACTGAACACCAACAGGATTCTTGGGCTCCATCTTACAACTCTGAGATCAGACCTGAGCTGAAACCAAGAGTCAAGGGCTCCGAGCCACCCAGATGCCCCACCCTCCCCCTCTTTTTAATACTTCTTTCCCCAACCCCGACTCCCACCTCCCTGCTCTGGTCTCCCAATCTTGCTCCATAGGGTTTGAAAAATATCTGTGCAGGGGCGCCTGGGTGGCTCAGTCGTTAAGCGTCTGCCTTCAGTTCAGGTCATGATCCCAGGGTCCTGGGATTGAGCCGCACATCGGGCTCCCTGCTCCGCGGGAAGCCTGCTTCTCCCTCTCCCACTCCCCCTGCTTGTGTTCCCTCTCTCTGTCAAATAAATAAATAAAATCTTTAAAAAAAAAATCTGTGCAAAGTATTAACTCTCTGGAGAAAAGGGGAAGGTAGAAATTTATTTATTTATTTATTTTTAAAAATTTTATTTATTTGACAGAGAGACACACAGCGAGAGAAGGAACACAAGCAGCAGGGGTGGGAGAGGGAGACGCAGACTTCCCGCCAAGCAGGGAGCCCGATGCAGGGCTTGATCCCAATCAGGACCTGAGCCGAAGGCAGACGCTTAACGACTGAGCCACCCAGGCGCCCCGGCAGAAATTTATGACATTAATAAATAAACCAATGGATGTTAGTTATCTGAAAATTAATAAGTAAACCAAATAAACTACCCTTGCCCTTATTTTACCTGGCCTCTCCGCCCTCCCCTCCCTTTTTCCCCAGAGGACTGGCTAAGGTCATTAACCTAAGGTTCATGAACCATAGGTAAAAATACAGTTTCATAGGTGGTAAATAGAAAAATGTCAGTAGGGGCGCCCGGGCGACTCAGATGGTTAAGCGTCTGCCTTCAGCTCAGGTCGTGATCCCAGCTTCCTGGGATTGAGCCCCACATCGGGCTCCTGGCTCAGCGGGGAGTCTGATTCTCCCTCTCCCTCTGCCTCTCCCCCGCCCTGGCTCATGCTCTCTCTCTCTCTGTATCTCTGTGTCTCAAAGGAATAAATAAAATCTTTAAAAAAAAAAAAGAAAAGAAAAATGTCGGTAAATTAAGAGATTCAGCCAACATGGGAGAGTAGTGAAGGGAAGTGCGGGCTGCTCTGGGGGTTGCCCACAGGGGGCCCATAAACCCCGGAGTTAATCCAGTTTATTACTTATAGGAAATAGGCACTTCCCAACCTCTGGGAGTCGCGATCTGCTCCTGCTCACCCCGCTATCACACCGGGGGAGAAGCAGGGGCAGATCCTGACTCCCAGGCTTCTCGCAAAGTAGGCAGGTCACCTTAGAGGCAATCCTTACCCGCTCAAAAATTCATCTCACATTAGCAGTGAGGATTCGGGCGTCACCTCAAATCGTTATTTTCCTTATTCATAAATTGAAGGTATGGCTCTCCCCCCCTTTTTAAGTAAACTCTACCCCCAACATGGAATTTGAAGTCCCAACCCTGAGACCAAGAGTTGCATACTCTACCCAGTGAGCCCACCAGGTACTCCCTACCTGCCTCTTTTCTACTCTAAGGGGTAGCCTTAGAGTCTTCTAGCTGCTATTAGGATACTGGATATGCTATCCTCAGATCCCACAGAGCTCCATGTGCATAGGGGCCATCTGCTACTTTCCCCCTCCAAAGGGTCAGTGTGAATCAGGTCTTGCGCAGCCATGCATTATCTGTGTATTCTGTCTACAAGAACATGGCATTCTGTGTGTTCATTTATTGCTGTGCACTCGTGTGTGCCTTATCCTGGGACGTGAGCTAGAGCTGGGGAGATTGGGAATGGCGGGAAGACATAGAACAGGGCTCGCCTGACTGTCCCGGGAGGTTACGGGCACTTCTTTTTCCATTTAATCTGCAGACTGAAGAAATGAGAGGGGCTGTGTAAATGTGGTGACTACATGGTGTGTGGCGGGGAACAGCACGGGAGTGAGGTGCTGCAAAGCTTTATGGAGTTCAGAATCATTACAGCACTGGAAATACGTCATCATGTGTTACCACTACCGCACACATACCCGTCTATTATGAAATTTCTACTGGGGGGATTTCTAAAGTCATTCTGATTCGTGGTGGTCTTTTTTCCCCCTCTCATAAACAAGCTGTCTTGAGTCAAATGCTGTACAGGCCAAGCGGGTGCAGGCACGAGAGAAGCATGCCTTCTCATCGGCATCCCATCAGTATCCTTTGGTCCAATCCTTCACTGCCCCCCGCCAGTACCTGTACTTCGGGGAAAGTTTGGAATCTCGCTGTAGTCAAAGCTCTGGCTGTCAGTTAATTTATTAACCAGATTTCCTAACCCAGAGCCACAGATGACTGCCACTTGAGGTCGGTGCTTGGTGTGGCACAGAAGCCATTCACTCGTGTTCTGATAATCATCATACGTAAATCTAGGAGAAAAGTAAAATCAAGGTAAGTTTCTCTCCCAACCCAAGGGCATCACAGACTGATGACCTTCAGTGCAGAAAGGCTGGGAGGTGTGCCGGGGTGGTAGGGCACACAGAAGCTAGCCAAAAAGCTGCCCCAGAGAGGAGGATCCTTGCTCTCAGGAGGCACCACACTGAGCTCATCCACCCACCCACTCTTCTTTCTGAATCAGACCCACAGAGAAAAGACTGCTGGGAAACTCCCTCCTCATTCCAGAGCCTGGCAAAAGTTAATGATACCTATGTTTCCACCTCCCAGCCCCAACTTCAGTTTTGCTATCACTGGCAGGTTTATTATCTCTCTTAATGGCAAAGATTTATTTATTTTTTTTTAAGATTTTATTTATTTATTCATGAGAGACAGAAAGAGAGAGAGAGAGAAGCAGAGGGAGAAGCAGCCTCCCCACTGAGCAGGGAGCCTGATGCAGGAGTCGATCCCAGGACCCTGGGATCATAACCTGGGATCATAACCTGAGCCGAAGGCAGACGCTTAACCATCTGAGCCACCCAGGCGCCCTTAATGGCAAAGATTTAGAGAGGAAGGGCCTATAGGGTCTACAGAGAAGTACAGTGAAATAATCAAATCAAGGAGGCTAAAAGGGTCGGGTTTCAGGATTAAGACCTTCTTTAGGGCAATGACAAGCCCAATGCAATTCTCCACTCAAAATATAATTAAGACTACCCTGAGAGCAGGAATAAACCCAGTTTCCTTTTGGACCCTTACCCTCCACATCCTCCCTCAGACAAATACTTTTTTTGGTTAACCCCCCCCAAAAAAAAGGCAATGGGAACACTCCTAGTAGAAATCTATGTGCCAGTTAGTTCCCCCACATCCATATTTCTGATACACCCAGACTTAATACAGACCCTGTCATATATAACTGCAAAGGGTAATTCAAGACCAGCGACCAGGTAAGCACAAAAAAGCAGAACTGGTTGTCAATGGCTGAAACAGAACTGACTGCCTCAAGTTTCTCAGCAGCAGCTGGTTAAAAATACAAATTCTAGAGCCCACCCCTGGAGATCCAGAATTCTGGGGAGAGTCCCGAGGATCTGTATTTTTTACAGAAGTGTTAGGTAATTCTGATTCAAAAACCAGGTTTAGTTATTTTTGGTCTAGAGGAAAGTTGTCTTTTTAAGCAAATAACCTGTGTTTCAAAGTCTTTCCTCAAGTATAAAGCAAAGGAACGTCACCAGCCCCACCTACCTTATAGGTGCAGTTTGAAAATGAATTAGAAACTTACCTGTAAGTTCCAAAGACCTTAAGCTCCACAAATCAGTGTTCAGGTCCACAGTACTTGAACCTTTTTCCCACCTTCGCCCCTGCCAGTGTTCTCCACCCTGCTCTCTCCTATCTCCCTTCTCCTTCAAGGTTCTTTGCTCTTTAGAGACCTAACCACCGATGCTTACCCAGAACCCATACGTCCCCAAGAACCAACTCAGAATTTTTCTCAGAATTCCAATCCAATTCTCAAACACCCATCTGGAAAAACCAAAGACTGGGGGAGAGGGAGCGGGACTGAGATGTGACAAGAGCTGAAGACAGCTAACCAAACCTCCAAAGGAAATCCTTTTCTTCAAAAGCAGAGGCTTTGAAACCAGATGACTCTACAGTACAACAGGCTACCCTCAGGGAAGTAGTTGGGTAAAGGGACGGGGGTGGCGACAATGGAGCTGGGGCCACAGGATGATGCAGAGAAGCAATGAAATGGTAAAAAGTTAATCAAATAGCATCCCCAAGAGATGCAAAGGAAATGAAAGAAGTGAGAAGCCCTGGATACCTAGCATATCTAGCAACAGCTTATTCAACTTCTTCATGGGCCATCAGTCTCCCAAGAACACCCTGGATCCTGGTGCATCCAAGAGCTACCTACCATGATCCCTAAAGCTGGTGACTTGGAATGGGATTTCTGGAACCAAAGCAGACAGAAGAGTTTTCAAAGGTGTGAAGTGAGAGAAATGTGCAATCTTTTGCTCAGTTCAATAAATAAGGATTTCCTTCTCTCCTTGGAGACTCCATCCCCAACTTATTTAAAAAAAAAAACAAAACAAAACTGGGGCGCCTGGGTGGCTCAGTCGTTAAGCGGCTGCCTTCGGCTCAGGTCATGGGGATCGAGTCCCACATCAGGCTCCCTGCTCGGTGGGAAGCCTCCTTGTCCCTCTCCCACTCCTCCTGCTTGTGTTCCTGCTCTCGCTGTCTCTGTCAAATAAATAAATAAAATCTTAAAAAAAAAAAAGAATATGGAATGCCAATTCACAAACATGTTAAAAAAAAAAATGGGGGGGGGGGCGGTGGGCGCCTGGGTGGCTCAGTCGGTCAAGCGGCTCACTTCGGATCATGAGGCTCAGGTCATGATCTCCGGGTCCTCTAATCGAGTCCCTCCTTGAGCTCCTTACTCAGCAGGAAGTCAACTTCTCCCTGTCCTTCTCCCCTCCGCCCTGCTCCTGCGCGCATTCTCTCTCTCAAATAAATAAATAAAATCGTAAAAAAAAATTTTTTTTTTAATTTTAAGTAGGCTCCACGCCCAAGGTGGGGCTTGAACGCACGACTCTGAGGTCAAGAGTCACATACTCTACGGACTGAGCCAGCCAGACGCCCCGACTCCAACTTATTTTAATTGAATCTCCAATTCGGAAGGAAGGGAAGGTGTTGTGTGAGACTTCAGCTATCTCTCCTCTGAATGAAATCTGAAATCTCGCCGCTTTACCTAGACTCTACATCCGGAATCTGTGACAAGCACACGGGGTGGGAAGACCTCTTCCCTGTATGCGTGTCGGGGTGGCTGGGGGATATAGGGAGTAAGCCTCTCCCCCCGACACCTGCACCTCAGTGCGCGCGCACACACACAAATACACCGGCTCCTACACCATACTACACGGGTCCCCTTCCTGCTCCCATGACGCCAGCGCTGCTCGATTCCTGCCGCCCCACTACTCTGCCGCCCTGCCCCGACACCTGGCTCCCCGCCAGGCCTCTCTGCCTCTCCCGGACACTCGTTCCCCCTCTTGGCCCCTTGGGGGCCCGGTACCGGGCTTCCAGGTCTCGGTGACAACCATCCCCCCGCCCCCAGGTTCCCCGAACCGGGTGCCCGCCTCACCGGTTTTCCATGGTGCCGCCGTCGCCGCCCTCTCGAGGAGCCCGCCCTTGGCCTCTGGGATCCGGGCCGCTGAGCCGCGCTGCGCAGAGCCGTACTGGAGGCCGGGAGCGCTGTGCACAGTGTATGCACAGTTACTCGCGGCTGGCTTCTAGCCCAGCCCCGAGTCCCCAGCCAATGGCAAACGAACACGCAAGCCGGCCCCCATCTCCATGGTGACACACCCAGATTCAACTGCCCGAGGCTGGGCTAACAACTTAATCTGAGTTCTTTCTGACGCTGGAACCTGACTCGGGCCCCACCCCACCCCCTGGAGGCTTCTAGCACTGCATCCCTGCCCTCACTTCCGTTTGCAAGGCCGGGGTTTCCCTCAAGGAAGCCTAGAAGCCGGAGGAGAGCCCCGAAACCTTTTCTCTGTAACCCCATTCCCGGTTGTGTCTAGAGCAAACCGCGAGATTTGAAAATACAAAAATTTAAACCTTATATCTTGCAACTGCAGAATAAAATTAAGTGAGCCCGTGTCTGAGTTGTGTCAAACAAAATTTGCAATGAGGCTGCAAGGCAAACACAAATATATTTGGGGTCTTAGGAACTGCAATTTGGAAGACTTGGATTCCGGAGGAAAACCAAATTGTTTTCCCCTCCGCTGAGGCGAAAAGGGTAAAAAAAAAAGGCGGGCGGGGGGGCGGGAGATTCCAAGAAGACTTACATAAGTTGTTTTGCAAAATTATGATTGGCCAAAAGAGTGTAATTTCCGTTGAATTTCCAGTTTGCCTTCTGGGACTACAAGAAGCCAAGATGTTGCAGTTTGGCAATGAACTATAAAGTTTAGGCTCTGTGCAGAGCCCCATTTCCCTAATAGCTTACTGGCTCCGTTTTTCCTGATAGGAGTGATTCCGTTTCAGATTTTTCGCGTCATATTTTTCCCTTTTGATCAAGATCTTCCCTTGGAAAGCATTGATGATCAACCATAGGATCATCTGTTGTCCACCTAGCTCAGAAGGTTCATTCCTAAAAGGTCATGTCCCACAGAGGAGGGAAAGTGAAATGTTATGGATGATGAATGTCAGGGAGAGCATATAGTCACAGCAACAAAGAGGTTTTCAGGAAGCAAGTCTTAGACATTGTCCTCATCTTAAAAGCCCATGGAGTTGACTTGTCTTCAGGGATTGCCGATGGATAGCTGTGGTTGATCATTTTAAGCCTTTGTGTGACCATAATTTCGACATCTTGGATGGCCAAACAACAGCGAGAAATACAAAGCATCAGTAATTTAATTATAATTAAAAAGGAGCACACAAGTATAATAATAAATATGATTGTTTGTAATCCAGATCTTAGAAGGGCTTCAAGTCCTATGGGAAGTCCACTGAAAAGGTCTGAAAACTTAAAATTAAACTGACTTAGAGGGCTGAAAGAAACTCCTTTTAACGATGGCAAATTTAAGTATTTTGGTGGTTTTCAACTGAGCCTGTTTGTGAGGTGCAGCAGGAAGTCTTAGGGATGGCACAGACTCCTTGAGCAGCCCCAAGTAATCCAAAGCTCTTCTGTTGTCTAGTACAAATCAAGCAAGGGAATCTAGAGACCTTCGCATTTTAATGGCCCTAGCAATGGATCTGGCTATTCTATTAACAGTCCAGGACAGATTCCATATCATGACCTCATTTGCAGCAGATCCTGCCAGAAAAAAGGATCCCAAAATTCCAAGGAGATCCATTCCTTCATTAGGACTGTATCCTGTGGGAGGTCACAGTCCTGAGAATGTCTACAGCGATTGTCTTCCTATTTGGAGGAGTCATCGTCTGGGTGGTCATTTATAATGGATAGAGCTCTCTTGTTTCTTTCTTTTTTAAAGATTTTATTTATTTATTTGACAGAGAGAGAGAGAGAAAGAGATCACAAGTAGGCAGACAGGCAGGCAGGCAGGCAGAGGGAGAGGGAGAAGCAGGCTCCCTGCTGAGCACAGAGCCTGATGCGGGTCTGGATCCCGGGAGCTGGGAATCATGACCTGAGCTGAAGGCAGACACTTAACAGACTGAACCACCCAGGTGCCCTGAGCTCTCTTGTTTCTTTGGTGAGTGTCTTTAGGGCAGGAGAGATCCCTGTGACCAACTGAAATACAGTGAAGGGAGAAACTGCATATTCTAGGAGACACTGTCCTGTCATTCTCTGACTATCTATGATGAGGGAGCAGAAGGCAAGCTGAGGACAAAGCACATGCTGACACCCCACAATGCAACCGCCCCCCCCAGGTGGGATCTGTGTGACGTTCCTCAGGCACTCCTGGCTGTCCTAAAACTAGGGGAAAGGGAAAAACAAATGGCTAACTAATAGAGAATACAGTCCTGCAAGACATGAGTCTCCATCAGTTTACCAATGTCTTAGTGATTTACAAGATAAAAGCATTCTTATCAATAGCCTAACTCCCAGGGACCCATAACTCAATTTCCTGGAGCCCTAACATCACCCTCCCTTCCTTGAGTGATGTGGGAAACCGAGGCAGGAGGGAAAGTAAACTAAATTTCTTCATGACCTGAAGCCCATTGACAAGGACCTGAGAAGGGCAGAGTATGACATTCCTCCAGGAAGATCCCGTCTTAAGGTTGATGCCTTACTAGAAGGAAAAACAACCCTAGCTTGACAGTAGCAAGGCCTGTAGCATCCTGAGAGTCTTCTTTAGCATATCAAAGTCCTTTTGGACACCTCCCTTTTTCCTTACCTCCCCCAACTGCCAAATATATAATCAACCATTCCTCACAACCCCGGGGCAGTAGATCTTTCTGCCATGGATCCTGTTCCATTGCTTTCATAAAATCACCTTTTTTGCACCATAGACATCTCAAGAATTCTTTCCTGGCCATTGGCTCCAGACCTCACCAACATTCAAAGACTACATCATCTAGGCAGTCAGATGTCCAAGGTTGCCCCTCGTAGGCATGGACAAAAAATATATCCTGTGGGAGCGCAAAATATTTCTTTTCAAGTCTGATTATAGACTCATCTGTAGGTATGGAAGGTAAGACAGGAGAAAACCAGGGGTCTATTTTGTTCAAGCAGCCAGATAACTGCTTCTTTTTTTTTTTTTTAAGATTTTATTTTTTTATTTATTTATTTATTTAAAGATTTTATTTATTTATTTATTTGACAGAGAGAGACAGAACCAGAGAGGGAACACAAGCAAGGGGAGTGGGAGAGGGAGAAGCAGACTTCCTGCTGAACAGGGAGCCCGATGCGGGGCTTGATTCCAGGACCCTGAGATCATGACCTGAGCCAAAGGCAGACACTTAACGACTGAGCCACCCAGGCGCCCCTTAAGATTTTATTTATTTATTTATTTGAGAGAGCGAAAGAGAGCACATGAGAGGGGGGAGGGTCAGAGGGAGAAGCAGACTCCCGCTGAGCAGGGAGCCCGAAGCCGGACTCGATTCCGGGACTCCAGGATCATGACCAGAGCCAAAGGCAGTCGCTCAACCAACTGAGCCACCCAGGTGCCCCGATAATTGCTTCTTTTGATATCAAAGTTTAGTTGACTCTTTTGCAAAGGAGGGTCTTACAGCCGGAAATGTCTATTGGAAAACCAGTTGGGCTCCCACGTGTTTTTATGAGCCAAGTATAAGTGGCAGGTAATTCTTGAAGAAATTTAGAACAGGGATGGAGGGTGACTTTATCAGTGAGTTAGGCCAGTAAAATGAGATCCCCAGTCACTATGAAGTTCAGAGGGGACTCCCCAGGCAGGAATAGTCTTTTCTAACAATATCTTGCTTACTGCTCTAGTGGTGGCTCTCCAACATGGAAATGACTCAGCCTACTGAGAAAACATACAAATCATTACTTATATCCTTGGGAGGGAGGCAACTGGCCTAAGTCGATTTGCTATACCTTGAAAGGTCCAGAAGGCAAAGGAAAATATCCCACATAAGTATGAATAGGCTTTCCAGGTTATGCTTTGGGCAAATCTGACAACTCAGGTATACCTGTGAGGTAATTTTTTTTAAGATTTTATTTAAGGGCACCTGGGTGGCTCAGTTGGTTAAGCGACTGCCTTCGGCTCAGGTCATGATCCTGGAGTCCCAGGATCGAGTCCCAGGATAGAGTTCCGCATCAGGCTCCCTGCTCAACGGGGGGGTCGGCTTCTCCCTCTGACCCTCTTCCGTCTCGTGCTCTCTATCTCTCATTCTCTCTCTCTCAAATAAATAAATAAATAAAATCTTTAAAATAAAGATTTTATTTATTTATTTATTTGACAGAGAAAGAGCGAGAATGGCAGGCAGAGAGAGAGGGAGAAGCAGGCTCCCCGCTGAGCACAGAGCCAGACGTGGCTCAATCCCAGGACCCTGGGATCATGACCTGAGTCGAAGGGATGCTTAACCGACTGAGCCACACAGGCACCCCTGATAATTTTTGGTGATGACTTCTAGTAGTATTGTTTACCCCATGAGACCACCTAATCAGTTTTCTAATGTGTCAAATCATATACATGATTTGACATATACAGGACCTATCTCTGTAGGCAATCAGTGAGAATGAGCTGATTGTTAGGACCTATCCATAGATTTCATCTGGGTCAAATTTACAACCTTGTTCTGCCTATTTCTTTCTAGTTTGCCAGTTAACTGTGGGGCTTCTGTTATTTTATCTTTTTGATAGCAAATTCAGGAGACATGGAAGTTGCAGGTGATAAGTAATAAGGTAGGGACTGACTTAAAGCAGCTGGGTTAGTAGCTGCATCAGCCAAATGATTTCCTTTGCTTTTCTCCATGTTTGCCATAGAGTGTCCTGGAATTTTAGTGACCGCCAAAGATTTGGGCAGTTGGATAGCATTTAAAAGATCTAATACATAAGAACAATTTTTTATTTTCTGTTCAGAAGCCAAGAACCTTCCTTTATTTCCAGAGCATACCAAAACCATGAGCAACACCAGAGGCCTATCTACTACTGGTATAGATGTTAGCAGCCTTATCTTTACCTAGAAAATAGGCTGTAGTTAGTGCCAGAAAGTTCTGCCTGCTGAGCAGAAGTGGCCTCTGGTATGGGTTTAGTCTCGATGGTTTCAGTTAAGGATATTATAACATCATTGGCTCAGTAGTGACTGGTTTCATCCTTTAAGTAGGATCTGTCAGTAAACCAGATTAATTCAGCATTCTTTTTTTTCTTTTTAAGGATTTTATTTATTTATTTATTTATTTGAAAGGGAGGGAGAGAAAGTGAGGGAGGGAGGAGCAGAG